ATATTGTAGCAAAAAAAACTTATCACAACCCCATGAAAGATTGAGCAGGCCAACAACAACCAAAGGGTCAATTCCCTCATTTCCCTACCACTCTGCCAAAGAAATATAAATGTGAAAATCACACCAGAAAAGGGCCTTTTCAAGTTTTATAATCTAAAAATTAGAATCAAAGTGAAAGCAGATTAAGCAATGCAACTTGGTGCAGCAATGCACCCCCATTTAATATTCTATAAGTATACTTTTCTGTAAAAAAAAATACCAAAAATGTTAATAAACCAAGCTTCATTGAAAGAATATCCACAACATTAAAAACATAAAAGGAAACCAAACATTTCTATTCATATTGTGAAACATTATTTTGGTGAAAGAATGTACATCACATGTCATTAAGTAGCTCAGTATCTCATAACTGATAATGCAGTCTCAAATAAATAATGTTCAAACCATGTAGGTATATATGCAGTCATGACACATTGCCTGCTTGTGCAACTTGTACACAAGCCAGTTCCACACGTCCAATTTCGTTAGACGTTTGTGGCGTGCTGGTCAATTCCTGACAACGTTGATGTAAAAAACTGTCAGATAAGCATGATTCACTGGCTAAGAAAAGTTTATAATACATGACAGCTCATGATGTCTGTAAGTCAAAATATTTGTCCCAGATCTCAACTGTCCGAACACCGAGTGCACCATCATTTGAAAAGTGAACTGGATTACCGACCAAAGTTTAAGGATCATGCCAGAAAGTTAAAATGCTTACATTGAAAAATGTGTTTGAAAAGCCCAACATAAAATGAATAAAGAAAACAATGGACAAAGGAATCATTCTTCCTCAGGAATGGACCAGCACGCCACAAACGTCTAACGAAATTGGCGAGTTTCTAGCATCTAATACTTACTATTCAGGATTCATGGTGATATATCAATAAGTACACAAAGAGCTTGACTTTAATTCCGTGTGGCCCCGCTTTTTGTACACTAATTCGAAATTATTAATTTTCCTGTTTTATGGGACCATCAACTCAGAAATAAGGCTCTCTCTATCGTCTGGAGGTTTCGAAAGATGCTCTCCAGAGATGGCGCTAGTAAATTTGGCTGACATGACGTCATGCTAAAAAGTGATGGTTTTTGTGAGAGCAAATGTAATAATAGTTGAAAATTTTGTACTTTTGCTTAATTAAGAAAAAATAAATATACAATTGTTCAAAACAGCGTTTTCTTCATTCATCCTTCATTGTTTTAAGAGGAATATAGACAGTTTAAATATTTTTTCTTGACCGCAATTCGCACACGCACTAAATTAAAAGCTGGAGTTTTGTGCGTTCGTAAATCGTGATTTGAGAAAATAAGTTGACAATAATCTTTTGCACTTTTGCTTTACAATCATTTTTCAATGCAGATAAATGCATAAATTATTCGAAAATAGGCATATCTTTGAAATATTATGATTTTCCACAAGCAAATTTTCCCAAAAACTTGAACTACTTACAACTGACGAACGCATCCAATAATCTGGATGTCTTAGGATGAGTTCGTCATTTTTTCCGAAGGAAATACGATACAGTTCAAGCTATTTTACCGATTTATTAGGGTACTTTTGCCAATGAATTAATAAATAAATGACAACAATTAATCTCATTATCAACCATACTCGGAAGAACTTTCTTCGCATAAGCGCGAACACATCCGCGCTTTCATGAAAAGTCACGCCTGTAGATGTCAGGACTGCTGCTTTATGTTTCGCAAGGTGGCGCAGCGCGCAGGGTACCGACTACCGAGGCTGAGGTCTCCAGACTCTCCACCACGATTTAACTTGGAAATGGCCGATGGGGAAGGTCTCACCCAAAAACGGACGCCCTTTTACACAGCTGCATAAAGAGAATGAATTATTAGCATAGCTGACCACACGTCCCCTCCCCCTCTCCGCCCCAGCTCAATAGGAAATATCGCCTATTTTCCTTAGTCAGTTATATTCTGACTAATTTCTCACTCTTCCCAGTAAACCTTAACATGCATGATGCAGATGTCCACTGCGTAAGTCGTGTGCTTTCGTAAGTGTGCCAACTATATAGTGTTGCCTGCCTACACTCTACAGTACAGCCTACTGCTTCCCCATTGTCGTTATAATTGGTGATTCTCAGGTCAAAAGTTACACAGTGGTCTCAGAGAACAATCGTTTCAACAAATTAACGATTCAAACCGTTGCATTCTACTTATATTCCGGTCAGTTCTGCTACTAAACGATTCCGGCAAAACACTCTTTAGGTTATGTATTAGCGAACCACCACACAAAATTCGCCCAATCAATGGTCAGTTATTACTGCTGAGCTGAACCGTCATACGCTATATAGCCTATTATATAGCCTAGTCAATATTTTCAGAACGATACTGACTGACGAAACACAACGTATTCGCGGATTCGCACATACGTTGGCACCCAGGTGGCCTGTCAGCAGCCGCACAAATCCGCACAGCGCAGCCGGGATTTGACATTGAGATGGTACACCGTAAAGCATGCCTTTCCACACAGGCACAAGCACAGGGACACAAATTCTCAAAATCCAAACTTATTCCAATACTGGTCAATTACGAATAGGCATAAAGTTTTGAGGTTTTCTCATGTTCATTCTTCTTTCAACACACGCGGCAGACTGCAGCAGCTGCAGAACATCTCACAGAGCTGCGCTGGATGCAGTCATGAGCTGGGACACGGTTTGTGACCAATGACCGATCGGGGGTGCCAGCCTCCTCCCGGCACGCGATGCACTGGCCGCCGCGCAGTCGATGTCGGGGCACCGCCGGCATTCGCCGACAGGGTTCCATCCGATTCGGTGTATTGGTGGCAGCCCGAACAGTGACCCACGCGAAGCTGGCGGACGTCGATGGCCGATGAGCGATGCCCTTCCGCGACCGGCGGTGGCAGTCGGTCCCACATCAAGAACAGATACCAGTCATGCGGTCAGTCGGCGACGGCGCTGTCGCGAGCCGATCTGATGGTCGCGCGGTGGGCGTTGCCGACGTCCACCGGGACCGTCGACTGGGGGAGCGCGGCCGCCTCTTGGCCGCCGCCTCTGGTCGGCGAGCTCGTTGCGCTGTGGGACGGCATCCACTGCAAGTCGTTCACTGTGAAGCGGTCGTTTGACCGGACCTGGCAGGCGGGGAAAGGGGGCCTCAGATGAAGTAAAACCATCCCTCAGGCCAGCTTGAACTGGCTCTCCACCTCACCATGTTAGATAAGCGGACACCCTCGTGATCATCGCAGCGATGATTGCCAATTGGTGTGTCATTATGGGAGAGGATGCCAGCCTCCTTTGCAAGATAGTCTGCCTTTAACATAGTGCAGCCCGACCCATTGCCTGTGGCGCAGACTGGGCTTGATAATGCAGTGCAGGACACACCAAACGTAAGCGGCCATCTGTACCCCCTGTGCAGTAGGGCTGACTCAAGAGCCCAGAGTTGCCCTCCCCCCCACCATTCTGTGCACGTGATAACTGGATGGGACATGCCATGGTCAGCATCTGTTCAAAAGCTGCCCTAAGCATGTAAAGCTCCACTGGCATGCTCAAGCATGGTCACAGTCAGTTCTCACTTCTCAGTTGAACCTCCAATGGAAACCCATCACAAAGTAGAGATCAGGGCGCCTCTCACACTGCAGCACACTCAACGACTGAGGCACCATCTCATCACTTGCAGGTGGTTCTTGCCAGGAGCAATGCCAGCCACGCACATCAGGTGATAACAGCAGTGTACAACTGCAATCTACAAGCATCCATGTTCTTTCTGGTTTTCTCCTGTTGAGATCCACTGCCATGCATGAACTTGATGGGCTTTTGTTGCGCTCCTCCCATGTGCAGACAGGTTTCTGCTGAAACAAAGCAAAGCAAATGTGATTAATAATGGCCCTGTTTCACCATCCAGACACTGTGTGCACTGGTAGCTACGGCATACCATAGCATCACTCAAATGACGTTGCATGTGACCTCTTAGTTTATGATCAATCGCGTTTGGAACAGAGTGAGAGGTTCTGAAAAACCGTACCAAGAACAGAGGTTTGAGTTCAAATACTGCTAGCATGCTGCTGGTGCTGGTACCGCAGCGTGCTAGCGTTCTGGGATGCTGTCATAGCTTAGCGTCACAGTGAAGTTTGTTGACACTGCCATGGAAACCCAATGCTCTGACACACGCAGCGCACTGCAGTGCTCAAGTGCGTGCTCTGCCGTGAAACACCACCCATGAACGTTGGTTGCATGACCAGGATGGAGCAGTGTGGCAGACAGTGATTTCAATTTTAATTGCACTTCCTAGAGATTAAAATGTTGTTGGTGAAATTGCTATTCATTATTCCTATTACCATTGTCTAAATTTCACATTTTGATTTCAAGACAGCATCAGCATTGACATGTTATATAAAATAAGGTTTAGACTTCAGGTGGTCCCGGGTTCAGCTATTAAGTAAAACAAGGGCAAAAAATTGTCAAAAAAATATTTTTAAAAAATACCTGCCTTCATCAACACCTCATCTAATCTAACCTCATCCTCATCTAACAAGGCCCTAATAGCAAAAACCGTTTGAATAACAATGTAATATTTTGCAACCGCTGCACCATTACTGTCACGTACGCTATCCCTAGATTGGTTGCTGGTAAGTAGTGGTTGTCGTCATCAACTCGTCATGCAGCAGCTGATTGGGATGGGCGGGGCCTATTTTTATCCAGGCGATAGAGAGAGCCAGAAATAACACTGGCCACCCAACAGCTGACGTCAATGCTGAGGGCGTGCGTGCAATTATGACGCAGCAATTGTGACGCATTCGTGATATTTTTTGTCAAATCCTAGAAAAACTGTGGTGATCGTTTTTAAAATTTATTTCTATTTTGCCACACATACAACTTTGCAATGGTGGTATGTGATTGAATCCTAATGAGCACCATAGCCTTCCCATTTTGTATCAGACTTTCAAGCACATAATTTAGTATCGGTATCTCTCCAAGTTTGGAGATGCATATTTTACAGTGCTATAATTTGTCAGATATAAGATAAAGTTTCCATCAGAACTTTTCTTCCATTCCAAATTTAAATTGTTTCTTAAAACAAAATCATGACATTCAATAGCTTAAAAAAGGATAAATTTAGCACATAAGGTGAATAAAAATTCATCCTCAAGAACGTTACTTGAAATGGTCAATTATGCCGCAGCGTATTCATTTCGGTTGTCTGTGGTTATTGTGTTGGGGGAGGGGAAGATAGATTATATTAATTTTGGATTAATTAATTGGTGGATGCTTAAAGGAGTTTATCGTCGTATATGAAACCATGTGGTCGTTTTTCTCAAGAGATCCAGCGAAAGACTTTGCATTCGATATTGGTGAACCAGTAAAGGGACTCGAAAACAGAAGCTTTTGGCGATTGCACAAAGGACGTAGAAAGGTAAAGAAGGTTTAAACTTTTATTTCATATTGCTGAACTGTTGTGAGTATAAGCATAGGTGGCGGAACGGGGAGGGCACCAGGGCACCGTGCCTTCCTTTGATTTGGGAGTTTAAACATAAGCCCTCTGGGCGTTGCATGGAAAGAATGGGGCCAAAAGTCGGCTGTGCCCCCACCCCTTAATAAAGGTGTTCCGCCACTACTGAGTATAAGTGTGCATTCACAAATTAAGTGCAGACTGAAACTGTAATCAGGACACTGCTCAGATGCTGCTTTCTTGTCAGCAAGCTGTGAGCTTGCTAGTTCAGCATCTTATTGATCTCAATGATTTCATTCTTATGGCCTGTGTGATACAATCATAAGAGAAGAAAATTGCCATTTGCCAGCAAGGAGTTTCCACATTTGCAAAACACATCATCATGCTGTTGATAACTAAGATCAATGTTCAGCTAGTACACCAACACTGCTTATACATTTATTTATGTTTCAACTATTAGAAGCATGCTGGCAGGCCAAATTGCTTTCAAGACACAATGACACTTATTGACTTTGTCTTTTCTGAAGAGTAGTGCAGTGCTGAATCACAATTTCACACTTGTGTGAGCATACTTCAAACCTTGTAAAAACCGATCAATATTTGTGTCAACTACCTATGGATTTTCAGTGCTGTAGCCATTGCTACCACATGCAATGCCGCCCTGATGATAGATGGAAACTCTGACCGACAGGGCACCACTCAGGATGTATCCGTGTTTGTGTGTGATGCTAAGGACTCCCCAGCCCAGCTAGAGCTGGCTAAAACAGCTGTCAAGAGGCTGAAGACCCTCCGTCATCCAGGTGTAGTCACCTACATTGACAGCACTGAGGTGAGATATGGTTGTGGTGTACACAAGTTGGTCTGTCTCAAGAGCTATTCTGATGCCTTCTTGTTTATAGATAATAACTAATATTTTTTAGTAAAGGTGTTAATTTGTATGCATGCCACATGGACAGTACTTGTAAGTTGAACAGGCATATTTTGCCCAGGTTGGTGTCAGTATTAGCAAAACCTACTGCATTTGTTTTACCAATTACATTGAACCACTTCCATCTGATAGGGTATTTTTTTGTGGGTGTCCAGGATGGGTGAATGTTCAAAACCAACATGTACAGCTTGCTGAATTTGTGACCTTTGTCACCAGCTGATCACAAACTTCCATTTGAATAGCATCATTTTGATTCAGGTGCTTTGCAATTTCACATACGCCTCTGACAACAGACCATTTGTGTCAGAAGCAAATGATGAATATCTGCTCAACCCTATAGCATTCTCACCATCCCCTGGCTCATTCTCCCACTGGGGTACTGAAGCGAGTAACGGTCGACCAAACCCTGACACCAGAACACCGCATTTCCTCGATCACAGACGGACAAGCTGGTGTACCTGGCCACGGAGCCGGTGACGCCGCTGGAGGAATGGCTGGAGAACTGCTCCGTCACCGCCAAACAGCGCGACCTGGCCATCTCCTGGGGACTCCTCCAGATCACGGTCAGTGCCGTAGGTAGCGGTCATGTTTAGCAGAGGTTGCGGTCAGTGTTGCAGAGTCACGGCCAAGTTTGTGAGGGCCGTGGTGACATTTGTAGATAACGCTTGATTCTGATATCCTCTTACTATGGTTGAGTGGAGAAAATAAGTGATAAAGATGCCAAACAGTGACGCCATTGTATTAGGCTACTGGCTAGGTGCCTACAGTTTTGTGGTTTTGTAGAAGTTCCATAACTTTGATTATTTTGTCACTAGCTCTGGGCTACGAGTTGAATTGAATCTCTATTTTCTCGCAACCTTGTTTTGAAGGGCTATGTTATGAACGGCTGTGTCTCCAGTTTAGTCATTTGCCGGCCGTATCTCTTCCGCAGAAAGCGTTGAGTTTCCTGATCAACGATGGCAAACTGCAACACAACAACATCTGCATGTCGTCCGTGTTCGTGGACGCCGCCGGGGAGTGGAAACTCGGCGGTACGTAAACTACTTACAATGCGGGTTAAATGCTTCGGTTGAACCTGCTATAAAAGGACAGGCTGCTGGTGTTTTGTTATCAAATGAGATATCGTTACACAAAGTATGGTAGATATAATTTTTAAAGAATTTAATGAATGCGATTAGTACTTTCTCGATAAAACATTCATGAAATATTGAATTACGTGGAGTTAATTTGAAAATCACAACATCTAACTGGACAAAAGCCGCACTATCACGATGTTTCTGTGATGAGTGTAGGCTATGCTATATATAACGATGGACTGTGCGCTCGTATCGGCCAGGTCTGGAGTACGTGTCGTCGGAGGGCGCCGGCAGCGCGCCGCCGCAGAAGGCGTTCCCTCAGCTCCAGGTGTACGATCCGCCCGAGTGGAGCGACCCGTCCAAACAGCGACTCACCACCGCCTGGTGAGTGGCGGGACAGTGGGTCCCGAACTCGGGACGGGTCGGAGGGGTGCAGTTAGGGCGGGGCTGACCTCTCTCTATTGTCGTCTCGCAGCAAGTGAAGCCTTGCGTGTGGAAATAACGTATTTATATTTCGTTTTATTTTCAGTAACACTGAACTTTTAGGTATGGTAACGATGGACCGGTGCAATTGTAGGATATCCTATTGTGGTCTGTTGCTTTTGTCATCGAAACGCTGCCAATTGCCATAGCTTTTACCGAAACTCTGGCGGCCAGGTGGCCATTAGCAGTTGGTTGTATCATCAGAGGCTTTCAATGACACTCGAATCACGCCTGCCTAGCTACTCAGAGACTTGTGCATAACGTATTTTCACTTTTCGACGGCTTTATTTGCGATGATGATTGATGGCTTACCGCAGAAAACGCTTCTAGTTTACAGTGTTGTAGAAAAGCTTCATACCTTGTTTTATCATTTCATGTGCAAAGCACATAACGCCAGTTCCTAATGCGGCTGCCCTTATCCCAGGTCTAACGACACATGGGGCCTCGGATGTCTGATGTTCGAAGTTTTCAACGGGCAGCTGATGAAGAAAACCGCGCTCAAGTCTACTGCCAAGGTATGATAAACGGCAATCAACTGTTACCGGTACCAGAACAATCGCGGGCGGCATGTGATAAGCCTGTTTGCCAACTGATTCGATAGTCCTTTGTTTGAAAAGGTGCTTCCGGAAGCAGCATTGCATCTGGATTCTTAACACTAACAGCAGTATTTTCACCAATCTTGACCTATATTGGCCCGCGATGACGTCTTTCCAACTGCCTAGATCTCTGTCGCCGCTCTATGATACTAACCTGCACTGACCTGTAATACGTCGACCCCTCCCCCGCAGCTGCCGCAGTCCCTGACGCCGCTCTACACGGATCTGGTGAGCGGCAACCCGGCCGGTCGGCCGAACCCCGCCGAGGTGGTGGAGCGCGGCCGAAAACCGGGCGGCTTCTTCCACAACAACCTCATCCAGTCGCTGCTCTTCGTCGAGGAGATCCAGATCAAAGGTGCGCACTCGCGCCTAGCGCGCTGATTTCAGAGCTGCCGCTGCGGGAATCTCGGAAACTGATCAGGTTCATGAAGCATGTGTGCGCTACGCTTACTTCAACTGAAGGCTTGTACCTAATAGTTAGATGACATTAGCTAAATAATTCTGAGGATAGTGCAACATAGCAAATACCAAATACTTTTCTGCCTTTTGCTTTCTCCCAAGTACCAACTCAAGCTAGCTACGTTACTCGCCACCATTCCTTGATGAGTGACCACGTGATCACGTGAAACACGCCACATCTCGACGTCATGCATTCCCACGCCCCAGACGCGGCGGAGAAGAGTCGGTTCTTCAGCCAGCTGCCCGGCATGCTGGACCAGTTTCCGCCGGACCTGGCCAAGAACAAGATCCTGCCGCAGCTCATCACGGCGTTCGAGTTCGGCGGCTCTGGCTCCGGATCCACCATCCTGGCCCCCATGTTCAAGGTGCGTGTTTGGAGTGGTACGATGGCGAAGGGTGAAATTTGGGAACTTTGAACGTCAAGGGTCTTCGGTGTTTTTGGCACGAATCCATCGAACAAAGATTGTGTTTTAGTGTCTCGCCGCATCATTTTATTGTGCTATTAAATGTACCTGTTTTGGTGTAAATATTCAAATACATTCGACACAATCTTTTGAAAAAAAAATTTAGTCACCTCTTGAGTGATTCCCTTGTCCTACAAACCCCCACTACTCGGCTTCACCCTTTCCGCCCGGTGGCCTGGCCTCCCCTGACCTCTCCTGTCCCGGTGACCCGACTTCTACCGTCTCCATGAGCTGACCTCTCCCGCCCCGTGACCTCATGCCGTGACCTGACCTCTACCCTACGCGTCGTCAGCTGGGCGGCCTGCTCTCCGAAGAGGAGTACCAGCGGCGCATGGTGCCCTGTCTGGTGAAGCTGTTCTCGTCTCCTGACCGGGCCACGCGCGTGAAGCTGCTCCAGCAGCTGGAGACCTTTGTCGACCACCTCCAGCCGGCCACGGTCAACGATCAGGTCAGTGAGTGGGGCACAGAGAGGCGACGTGGAAAAGGTCGGTGGAACAGGCCGGAGGTCAGGGGTCAGAGCAGCGGGGCAGTAAGGGGTTCAGCGGGGGGGGGGGGCTGTGGGAGACCAATAGAGCAGTGCCCCGTCGAGATAAATATAATGGCATTGCTTGGCAAGCGAACCTTGGTTACTTCAGCAGTGTAAGTGGCATGCTTGCCTCTCCAGCTCTACCTTTTCAGGACGTCAAGATGGATGCCTAGTGAAGCATCATTCTAACGCGCCTCAACCTTTGTGGCACTTCCGTCAGATATTTTCTCACGTGGTGACCGGGTTCCTGGACACCAGTCCCGCTCTGCGCGAGCACACGGTGCGGGCCAGTCTGCTGCTGGCGCCCAAACTCAACTACAACAACCTCAACGTGGAGCTGCTCAAGTACTTCGCCCGCCTGCAGGCCAAGGATGACCAGGTAGGAATGAGGGCCTGCTAATGGGTACGAAGGGCATGGAACATGTGCGGTGAAAGAAAACTAGATGATAGTGACTGATATGGTGATACTGAGCAGAATGGAACGTCATTCTTGTAAATGTGAGCAAAATAAGTCATTGGGAATGATGTTTGGGACGAAAAAAGATCGAGTGTAGGAACGAGAGCATAGGGAAATATGGAAAAAATATGGAAAATGTTAATGGGATCTGCGTTATTTATGGATCAAGAGTAACTATATGTCCCCCGTGTTCGGGCAATGGTGATAGCTTCAGAGCTACTATGGACAACCCTACTGCGTGAATTGAAAAGGTTGCGATGGCCGGGAATCGAACCCGGGTCAACTGCTTGGAAGGCAGCTATGCTCACCACTATACCACCATCGCTGATGTGGGTGGGCTCCAAAGCGTGTTGTAATCCAACATGCGAACTTCATGCGCATGAGGTATTCTGTAATCTTGCAAAAATGTCATATGACATTCCACAGCAGTCAGTTTGTAGACAGCCAAAGGCTCTTGCGGATGGAGTTTCCCCAGGTTTCCCCATGATAATCACAGCGACTCCAACGTTTGCCGTTTGTCCCTCGGCAGGGTGGTATCCGGACCAACACCACGGTATGCATGGGCAAGATCGCCCAGTACCTTCACCCGTCCGTGCGACAGAAGGTGCTCATCTCGGCCTTCCTGAGAGCCACCAAGGACCCGTTCCCGCCGGCCAGGGTTTCAGGTCAGTCACTGCCCACTGGTTGGTACAGGAATGGGGGTGGCTGGGAAATCAGAGGAGTAAATTGTAGGGATGAACGGGGATGCAAGGTGAAGTGAGCGGGCGAGATTGCATTGGCTTTGCCATAGTGTGTAGACAATAAACATGTATATTTAAACTTGCTACTTGAAATCATGAGAAGGCTTTAATGATCTTAACACCCGGCTGTCAATGAGACTTACACGGGATGACCACTAGCTGAGTTCCCCTCTCGGTCTCCACCAGGCGTGCTGGGTCTGGCGGCCACGCAGCAGTACTACTCACTCTCAGACGTGGCCAGCCGCGTGCTGCCGTCGCTCTGCCCGCTGACCCTGGACCCGGACAAGGAGGTGCGACAGCACTGTTTCCGCACGGTGCGCGGCTTCCTGGGCAAGCTGGAGAAGGTGTCGGAGGACCCCAGTCTGCGGGAGGAGCTGGAGGCGGACATCAACAGCCAGACGCCGTCGGCGGCCAACAGCGGCTCCGGCTGGGCCGGCTGGGCCATGGGCGCGCTCACCACCGTCTACAAGACGACCACACAGCGGGCTAAAGCTAAACCAGGTGAGAGAGGAGTGCTGAACACGGTCTCAAGACGACCACGCAGCGGGCTAAAGCTAAAACAGGTGAGAGGCGCGCTACAGCGGGCCAGGGTCAAACAAGGGAGGAGGGGAGCGCTGAACACGCTCTACAGGACGACCACGCAGCGGGCTAAAGCTAAAACAGGTGAGAGGTAGAGCGGACCACCGTCTACAGTCGGCTAAGGCCAAACCAGGTGAGGGGTGGAGCTTAGGCCAGCTGCTACTACCATGTCGATAAGCATCTGTTGAGACTGTAAGTTGATGACTTTTATACCTTGTGGGCCCCACATGACATGGGTTACTCGATCCTGTAGTAACACACCTCTATTTCTTCAGGTACGACGGAGAATCAGGAGTCCGCTGGCTCGAGTGCCGCGGTGGGCTCTGCAAATTCGGCAGAACCAGCCAAGAACAAGGACGCTCAGAGCCGTCAAACGCCCGCCACACAGGTGATTTGAGCTCCGGGAAGTACATCGTAGAGGGGCCAGAGTTTAGATGAGGTGTAGCCTCATATGACGCTGAAACGCCTTCCCGCTCTCCTGTGATTTCTCTCGACGTAACTATATCTTGTATAGTTAGAAATGCTAGAAATGTTGAGTTTTAGGATGTTAAAACGCTGAATTAAACAGCCGAAGCTACGAAGCAGCTCCCGAAGCTATACAGATTACCCGATCGTAGTCATCACAGGATTAAAGTCGAAGCAACTCACTTGATCCCGTGGTTTCGTCTACCACTGGCTCACGCTTCTTCTACACGTCTGCCTCCAGTGTAGATCTCCCACTCCTCACCCACTTCTGACCCTGACCGTTACCCTCTCCGCAGTCGTTCGGCGGCGGCGCGGAGGACACCCCGCCCGCGGACACGGGCGGCGCGGCCGACGGCTGGGACGACGACGACGACTGGGGTGCCCTGGAGGACACGACGCCCACGCTGGCGCCGGCGCCCGCGCCCTCTGCGGCGCCCCCGACTCCCTCGGACGGCTGGGACAGCGCCGGCTGGGGAGGGGACGAGTTCAGCGCGGTGCCGACCACCGCGGACACCAAGTCGGCGGCGGAGATCCGCTGGGCGGACGCCGGGGACGATCCGTTCGCCGCCGTGCCCACCAAACGCCTGGTGAGTGCGGCGACAAACCGAGGATGTCGAACGTGGAGGTTGTGGGGTGCATCGCATGTGTTACCCTCAGCAGGGCAGCTGTTCTGCAGTAATGTGCTAGATTATGAACATTCTTGTTCGTTTTCTTTCGCCGAAGCATAACTGGGAGCAGAAATGCCAGATGCGGATTGCCTCTAGCCTTTAGCACCGTATCATCAACATTGCTAAACCATGCGTTTGATCACTGCCATTGTGCTTTACTGCGAATAAGTCAGCTCAGTGAGTCGCCCGTCCCTGACTGACCTTTCGATTCAACAGAACCAGCCGAAGCCCGCTGCTCCGACCTCTGACGTCAGCGCGGCGTGGTCAGCTGACTCGGCTGACATCAGCGCGGCGGCAGCGGGCGGCGGCGGCGGCGGCTGGGACGACGACTGGGGTGACATGGGCGGCGGCACCGGTGGAACAGGTCAGTGCAAGATTACTTTACTACTCGGTCTGTGGGGGATGAAGAGGGGCGCGGTAAGGGGACGGAGGTCACGGGCTCGGTGACTGGATGTTATATGCGTGTACGTCAGCCAAAGAGGTTCATCAAATGACTTGGTCAGAAAGCACAGAAGCCTTTGGCCATTTCGATGAGTGGTAGTGACGAGAAGCAGCCACCTGTCTGTAGGTACTTGCAAAGGTGATTAACAACGTAGCTGAACGGAAGTCTGCTTTGCATTATACGAGTATAACGTAATTCTCCACTTTCAGGCGGAAGTGCACAGGACAAGAAGCAAGCTATGCAGGAGCGGCGGCAGCAGCGGCAAAAAGAGCTGGAGGCGAAGCGCGCAGCAAAGAAAGGTCCTATGAAGCTCGGCGCCAAGAAGCTCTAGCAGCGCGACACGAACGTTAGGGTATCTGTGTGAGAAGGCAGGTCGGGGTAACTCTGACCTCTCCCTGAAGTGGCGGCAGCGTACCTTATCCAGAGGGCGCGCGTGCTACACCCTGGGCGTACCACCGGTGTTGGCTTCAACAGCAAGACACACTGTTGAAGCGTCAGATGTAGAAGTCCGGCAGAAGCTAGCGGAATTCTATTGAGAAGGTGGTTTCAGGAAGGGATCGGGTCGTACGGTGTTTCGACGAATCCGGTGGGATTTTTCGGAGGCTCGGTGGCAGATAGGTGATCTGATATTGTACTGGAGAGTGCAGGGTTGACCTGTGGATGAGATGGTTTCTACTGGAGACTGTGAGTTTTCCGGCGGCCAGGGCTGAAGGTTGAAACTGGATGCTGCAGGATCGGAGAATGAGCAAATTGGGGTGGCTCGGAGTTAAGCTGGTTGGTGGTGGAGTGTGGTGTTGCGTCAGGCCTGGTATTGGTGACAGGTGCGCCGCTACTGAGTGCTCCTGTATCGCAACCGCGCCTTCAGGGGCGCCTAAGGTGTGTTGTATCTTTGGAGCGTCGCGGAGTTGATGTTGCTTATGAATTATGATACTGTGCGACAGGAAGTGAGGACTGATTGTGGATTTATTGAGTGACTGATGACGTGAGCTACATCTGTGGTGAGATGCCTCATGGGTTTGTCACCGATTGGCGCCAGGTGAGGGAACCAATGCGTAGGCTGGAAACGAGCGTTGGTGTGGGCATTTATCAGCCAACTTGTGATACGGAATGCATTCTGACAGGCGGTATTACTCTATGGTGTGGAATGAACAAGTATGTCGAATGTATGAATGCTTGGATATTATTAAGTGCTGGGATGTGTGGATATTAAAATATTTTCCAACTGGTCGAAGTGACAAGCACATGGCTGCACTTGGTTGCCTCCTGGGTTGATGTGTGCCGCTTGGACGCGGGGTGTGTCGTCCAACTGATTTACTTTTGACGTTTGCCATTGTTGCCGCTTCACATTGCGCTATTTTTGTAACGCCTCAGCGTGGGGGAATACAGGACTCTGAGAAACTCCGGCTCTTTTCTTTTCTTTGGAAAATTGCTGCAGTTTTACTCATAGATACGTGAAGAATCATTGACCTTTTCCTCGAAAATGTAAAAACAATGCCAAAAGTTATATTGAATGCGGTGAGCTTTCGGCTACAAGCCAAGTTATATTGAATGCGGTGAGCTTTCGGCTACAAGCCTTCGTCAAACCAACAAAATGACACAATACAAGGTATTGTGTCATTTTGTTGGTTTGACGAAGGCTTGTAGCCGAAAGCTCACCGCATTCAATATAACTTTTGGCATTGTTTTTACATTTTCGAGGAAAAGGTCAATGATTCTTCACGTATCTATTCTCGCTATGTTCCTCGCTCAAGCACTTCACACCATTAATTGCAGTTTTACTCAGACCCAATCAATGACAACGGGCGCTCCTGTTTAGTTTCTGAACGTCTTTACGAGGCTCATCAGCTGCGGCGGACTCCCTGCACCGCTCCTCCGCCGTCTCCCCTGCCGTTCGCGACCCGACGCGTCTCGGTTTCTTCCGTCGTTATCGTCCCAGTGATGGTTCCGATTGAGGCGCGCCGCCGCCTGTCATTCTCGGGCGGTATTGGTGCGCCCGGCGATTTTTCCCCGATGCGGTGCGCCCTTGTCTCCTGGATCACAGCTCGTTAGTTTTCAGCGAGGAGCGGTCTCGGCAGTCTGCGCTCGGAGCCCGGCCGCCCAGAGACCCGCGAAACAGTGCAAATGATGCAATTATTTGGCGGCGGCGGCGGCGCGGCTGCGACTAAATTGGCTTTGTTAGCCCACCTCAGTCGGTATCGCCCGTCGTTAGCCGACTTCGAGTGGCTCCGCAGTGAAACAGACGCTCGATTAATTTGCATACGTGCCGGCCGACTCGGCGACTAAGAGGGCGACTCAAAGCGCCCTCATCAGACGCTCCGGTAATCATCTTATCCATACGGCTCAGCGTTACTTACTCCAGCGAGGCGAAATCGAACCGTATGAATGAGAGCCCTCGGGCGGCCGCTGCGAGCTGCCGGAAACAAAAGGAAATTGCCGAAGGGTGCAGCTAGAGATAGTAACTGAATTCGTAGCGGCCGTGTCGCCACGGAGTTTGGAGAGTAATCCTATTATGTTTGGGACGGATGCACACGCGGCAGAGGGCTCTCTGCATCTACAAGAGGCCGCCACGGCGGTGGCGACTCATTGGAGCGCCGTCAAACGTGAACGATGAGCCAGCGCCGGAGGAGCGCCCGGACAGAGAAATGACTGAGGCAGAGAGGTGCTCAGAGATACAGCCGAGTTAAGAATGACTAGCTCATAGGATATTCTGTGTTTTCAGAATGTCTCGGCCCACTTGTGCTCTTATCCATGTCGAAGACTTTAATGAGAAATGCGCATATGCCTCCAAGCCAGCTTTTTAATCACAGACGTAGGCGCCTAAACACGCATCATTGATCGGGATATCACAATGTAAGCATTCTTTTGCCAACAATCTGGAGTCATTTCGTATTTTCCACTTCAGTTGTTTGGAAGCACACACTTTTAAGAGCTAAGTTTTCTCCAACTCCCCGGGGGCCGCAAAAAGCGGCGGCGCCACCGGAACCTTCTGCAAATTTTTCCCGGTTCAATTAGCGGGCGCGTATCAGGTTAATCTTCTATCGAAATTATTGCGACGTGCCACTCAACTGACAAATGCAATTCCTTTTCCATTTATTTTCCACTTATGTGTCTGGATTTGAAATCTCGAGGGTGGCTGTTGGCCTGTCTGAAAAATTGATCGCGGAGACGAGTGCTCTATCGACGCCGCAATTTGGAGATCGACATGTTTACCTCGCCTGGCCGCCGGGGTTCGGACGGTGTGAGAGTGGGTCCTCGCACCGCGTCAGGCGATTCTCCACTCACACTGACAGTCAATTCGACCACCGACGACCGCTCGAGCGGGACGGCTGATGGTGTCAATGGATGATTGAGAACATGACATCAGCGCAACAAAGGGTGGATGGGTGGTGCACGGTGTCTACATTGATTGCTGGTGTCGATTTAACGGGGGGTGGATACGGACAAGTCTTTAGCTGGAGGGAGGGAGAGAGAGAGAGAGAGAGAGAGAGAGAGAGAGAGAGAGAGAGAGAGAGAGAGAGAGAGAGAGAGAGAGAGAGAGAGAGAGAGAGAGAGAGAGAGAGAGAGAGGGAGTGAGGGAGGGAGGGGGAGGGGAGAGAGGGAGGGAGGGAGGGAGAGAGAGAGAGAGAGGGAGAGAGAGAGAGGCGAACTCAGGGTCAGACCAGCAATAGGTTGACATTCATCGGATAACCTCGGCTCGGTGGCTGGTCACGGTACAATATAATCCTTGCAGGATCAGAGCGTTCACTCGGCCTATATTAGGCAGCTCTCGGTGGTGGCCGCGTTCCGCTCGAGATTAGGGGACACACCCAGTCCCCCACATCCCCCTCCCGGGTCGAGTCGAGGCGGGCGACACACCCAGTCCCCCTCCCGGGCCGAGTCGGGGCGGCCTCGGGCACCGTTTCCTGCCGGCCGTAACTCTGCGCCGCTGCAGTCGACGCCGTCGACCCGATCCGACATCGTGCGCCGTCTAATCTGCCATTACCATCGGAATGTCCTCATTGGCGGCGCTCAGCGGCGAGCAAACACCTGTTTGGGACGACCGGGCCGGCCGGCGCACAAAGGACCCAGCTTTATGAGGCCGGTTTGTCGCCGGGGAGGGCGGGGGAGATGTCAGGGCGGCGGTACCGATCGGCTTACCGCCGCCCTCCCACCCTGCACGCCGCTCTGATTCTCAGTCGTTCCGGCTCGTCGTTCCGTCTCGGCTGTCGCTGTTTGTGTGACAATGTGGAGATATTGGATCAGAAATGGCGAGGCCGACGGCGTCTCTGTGTTAGACACAGACGTGGCTGAACTGTGGGTCACGTGTGCTTCCCACGACGGCGGACCGGCTGAATTGTAACCAAAGGTGATCCGTTCAAAAACTGACACCGTATGGATTTTACATGACCCGGTGTGACGGCTATCTGACCGATGGTGTGTGGCTGCTCTGTTCTAAGCAGCGCCTCAGCTCCGCCCCAGCACGGAACCTTTGGCCGTTTCCAGTATCCTGACCGTGACCCGGGTGCCACTGATGGATGCCCGGCAGCCCTGACCCGACCCCTGAGTGATGCCCGCGGCGATCTGACCGTGACCTCGCCCGCCGGCCGGCCGGGCTCAAAGGCGCCGGCGCCGATACCGACTCAAACGGAAGCCACGAGCGGCCGGCCCGCCCGGAGCCGGGTAAACAGTACTGCATGGACCGGCGCCGTGGGAGCGTGATGTAAAGAAAACAGTGCTGTTTACGACATGGTGCACGCTCCTCGACAGACCCGTGGCAGAACAGGCACAATGATTTAACCCTGTTATTCACTGGAGTGCCCGTTTATTTATCTCATGCTCACGACCTCACAAGCGATGGGCGTTTACAGTGCTCCTCCTGAGAGATACTCCACAAGCTCCCATTATGGATCCCACCTTTTGAATGGAGAGGCCGCAAGACGAATGCTCGATCTAACCTGAAATATTGCTGATCTGGATTGGTAAGTTGTTGACTTCAGCCGGCAAATCTCCGAGGATTTCAGTTCAATTTCTACCACTGGCACCGGCCGCCTAATGCAACCGCTGTATGGCGTTATTTATGCCGGATTCTTTCGGGCACATAAATAAGGCAAACATCTCGGGCGCTCATAATAATTGCCTATAAATCGCGCTGGTGTCACATGGAGTCGGAGCCAATTCGGGGAATTATTCCGGCGGCTTTCTTTCCGACCGGTACCGCGGCCGAGCCATTATCGAGCCGCGACTTTTGAGCGGCGCCGCGGCGGCTCCAGTGCCACCTTTTGTCCCCGCCGATCCGCCATTTGTCAGTCGAGCTGGCACACACTGCGGGGGCTGAGCGCAAAAAGCAGTCGTCATTTTTAGAGCACCGGCGCTGACGTCATCGGTTCAACTAATGCTGTTATGGCCATTTTTGCACGTATGACGTAGGCTTTTGGTCGATAGGTGTAGAAGTGGCTACAATATCATGTTCGATACAATTTGCGTAAATGGGCCGGACCGTCTTAACCCACGCCCGATTGGCAGTCTCAGCCAACTTCGCCATAGTGGGGGGGGGGGGGCATATGTTACCACCCACCTCTAAATCAAAAACTAAGAGGGCTAGAGAGACGCGGTAAAAAGCAGTCGCCAGTCGATAGCGCTCAATGCGTACGTTTGAAAGTATTTCAGTCATTTTTCATCTTAGAGCAATATTGGGGTTACCAGACTCCAGAGGTCATCAAAGGTCAAAATTTGCCAATTGTCATTATCTTTTTCAGAAAACATGCCGTTATCCCAGGAACTATGATAGCTAGAAAAACGCATGGAAAAGCAATCGATAGCTTTTGAACTCTTCTTTTGATAAAGTCATCATAAAAAATTGACCTTAGGTCAACGGTTAAGCCTGCAGAGGGTAAAAACTAAAAAAATAACTGTTTTTACGAAAAGTGTTTTCCGACAATAACTTTCGAATTAAAATAGCCACGACATTTCTATTGCCAGAATCGTGTTCCTCTCGCCGAGACGCGTCGACTGAACCATAATTTGACCTTCAAAGGTTAACTTGAAAATTTGACCTCAGGTCAAGGTCATGACCTGACCGGAAAGGGCCATGCTGATATCAGTCGATGCGTCTCAACAAGACAAACACAATGAGGCCATCTCCAGCGTTCTATCTCTTTCCAATCGAGAGTTATTGGCAAAAATCTATTTGTAGCCTCAAATGACCTCGGATGACCTTTCTAGAGGCTATCAGCAAAAAAGACGCCTTGATCGTCACGGGTGGTCCAAAACATTGTGATTCTGAAATATTTGGACTTTTCCTATGCGTACACACGGATCTAGAGGCATTTTCATTTTCTCCATTGACTTATAATGGTAAGGTCACGCCACTGGTCTGACCTTAGGCCACGGATATAAAAAATCCGAGATATACAACTTATA